CTCGGGACGGCGCCCCGTGCGTCTTCGGCGGCATGGTGTACCGGAGCGGAGAGTCCTTCCAGAGCAGCTGCAAGTACCAGTGCACCTGCCTGGACGGGGCGGTGGGCTGCGTGCCCCTCTGCAGCATGGACGTCCGCCTGCCCAGCCCCGACTGCCCCTACCCCCGCCGGGTGAAGCTCCCTGGGAAGTGCTGCGAGGAGTGGGTCTGCGACGAGGCCAAAGAGCAGACTGCCGTGGGACCTGCCCTTGCTGGTGAGTGGGGGTCCCTCCGTGGATGGCAGGCCAGGGGGAAGGGGCACCCTGCGTGGAGACTGAAGGCAGTGGGACGGGTTGACACAGGGCATCCCAGCTCGAGTGCAGCAGTTAGTGGGGTCACCCCACAGATAAGTGTGGGTGCCTGAATTCCTAAGGAAAGGGAAGAGAGCCTGTAGCAGGACATGGGATCAGACGGTGGTCTCATCCTGGTTGTTTGTCCCCTGCAGCTTACAGACTGGAAGATACTTACGGTCCAGACCCAACAATGATGCGTGCCAACTGCCTGGTGCAGACCACTGAATGGAGTGCTTGCTCCAAGACCTGTGGCATGGGCATCTCGACCAGGGTCACCAATGATAACGCCTTCTGCAGGCTGGAGAAACAGAGTAGACTGTGCATGGTCAGACCTTGTGAAGCAGACCTGGAGGAGAACATCAAGGTAAATAGTCTCATCTTTATGTATGATATAGGATTCTTCTGTCCACTAGCCAAGAACCCAGTGTCTTAACCAAAAAGTGCGCTTTTGACAGGTAGTCAGTTTCAAGTGGTTTACCCTGAAATTTGAGTTTTGCCCCAGAGGTGAATAGTTTACAATTAAATACCTTTGATTTTCTCTCAGGCTGTATTATGGCACTATGTAAGACAGTCATGCTTAATGAAAATATAATAAGGATTAGTGTGTCTGCTTGCCCTTACCTTGCAAACTTTGTGGCCGTGTGAAAGCCTACCTTCTAAACATTCTGTATTCACTTGTATCCTAACAGAAAGGCAAAAAGTGCATTCGCACCCCCAAAATCTCCAAGCCCATCAAGTTTGAGCTGTCTGGCTGCACCAGCGTGAAGACCTACAGAGCTAAGTTCTGTGGTGTCTGCACTGATGGGCGCTGCTGCACACCCCACAGAACAGCCACCCTCCCCGTGGAGTTCAAGTGCCCCGATGGGGAGATCATGAAAAGGAAAATGATGTTCATCAAGACCTGCGCATGCCACTACAACTGCCCTGGAGACAATGACATCTTTGAGTCTCTGTACTACAGAAAGATGTATGGAGACATGGCATAAAGCCAGAAGGAGACGCTAACTAGATTCTCAACTTGAACTGATTTGCATCTCATTTTGTAAACATGATTCAATAGCACAAGGTATTTAAATCAGTTTTTTTTTTTTTATTTCAACAAACTGCTCCATGTGACTTAAGACAATTTTTCTACTGACCCCAAATGGTGGTTTGAAGAAGAAGGTAAAACGGACAGTGGGACCACAGCAAGACACAGCTTCAGAACACGTTGTTCATGAGGTGGTGTGAGGGGGTTAAGGGAAATAGGCAGGAAAAGCAGAGTCAAGCAAATGTTCCCTTAATGTGGTACAGCCTGCTTCATCTAGTAGTGCAATTGAGAAGGAGACCGTTAGCATGTTTGCTGGCACTGGTTTAGTGACAGCAACAGCTGGAATGCAAACCCTCGCCCAGCAAAGTGCTAAGTAGAAGGTGTTCTGTTAGTCAGGACAGTAATGTTTCAGCTCTGACACTGATTCGTATGGCTTGGTCAACAAGAATCAGAATCATGTCTATTAGACTGGACAGCTTGTGGCAGTTAATTTACCTGTAACAAGCTACTTTTTATTAATATTGTAAATACTGTGTGTATATATATTTGTACAGTTACCTAAATTAATTTAAAGTTTTGTGCCTTTGTTTAATGCTTTGAAATTTCAATGATAGCCTTCTTTTTTGGAACAAGATAGGTAGGATTTAAAGCTTGTCTGACAATGCATTCAAAGCTTGGAATAGATACTCTAGTGGAAATTGTTCAGATAGGGCCAAATGATGAGTTGAGATAAAGTTGGAGAGTATTGGAGTTGAGGTGCCTGTATCCTTACAAAGCACTCATCTGCCAAAATACATTTACTTCCACTTTATTGGACAAGTGGCTTTAAGAAAAACGTCTCCTCTGTAGCTCGTCAGTCTTTCCACTTGAGCATTTGTTTCTTTCTTTGACTATGGCTCTTTTTTGGACAGTTTATTTGTTGAAAAGTGTGACCAAAAGTTACATGTTTGCACCTTTTTAGTTGAAAATAAAGTATTTATATTTTTTATATAAATGGCTTGGCATTTCATTTACCTTTAGTCTTCACTATTGCTTTCTGTATTCCTAAAAGGGTTTGGCTTTGCACTAGATGAAAATCAAGTGGTGCGTGGTGGTTTATTTGGTTTGGTTTGTTTTTCCCAGAAGCACATACACTCATGAATAAGCTAATGGTTTCTGGTTACATATTCTGTTACTAGTGAACCAACTGTAGGTTGTTACTGTTCTGAATTTAGAATGGAGGGCAGGGCCAGGCTTGCTTTGCCAAGCCCGGTATTGCATTAGGAAGTGCAGCAGGTTTCTTGCGCATCACATGTAAGGGCTTCAAAATGAGCCAGCTGGTTACCGTTACAGCTCATGCTGTAATACACCATACAGTGTGCTTAATTTCCAGTGTTCCACTGGTTAAGATCTGTTTTCAGCTAAGGCAAGGAAAATGTTTTTAAAATACCTGCATTGAAGTGGCTCCTGACCCTAGAGTCAAATCCAGAAGTCCACAATTTGGTAAAATTCTCAGTGGAGAGCTAATGAGTTGTATCATAAAAAATCAGAGAATAATACAAATTGGAAGAGGCCTCTTAAGATCTGATTCTGCAGAGTGGATAATCTTCAGATACTTCATGCAGAGTAGGGCTAACTTAGATGTGGCTTTAACTGAATTAAGACCATAGTATGGTATGGTAGACAGAGCATTGAACTCAGATAGCAAATACCTGGGTTATCTTCCTGCTTGATGACTGGGGGCAAATCATTTTACGTGACAGTTCTGTCTGTAAAGTGTCCATTGATTCGAACTCTTGCAGGCCTGGAGATGAAAAGCATTGTAAGAGCTACACTTTTTCGTAATGGTCCAAATATTCTCAGATAAGCAAAAAACAATGTAAGGACAATTGTGTCACTTGCCTCATCCCCTGGAGCTAAAAGGAAAGCTTCAGTCCTGTGCTAGGTCCTACATTAATAACAGACATTTTTTTGTCCTTTCTTTAAGACAAGGGAATTCTCTGAATTTAAAATTAACCTTTGCACTAGAAGCATTAGTTCTTGTTTTCAGAAAAAGCACGTACTCTCCAACAAGAATCCTTTTCAGGCAAACAAGTTCAATCTGGAATTTCCTGGTGGTGAACGAGTGTTAGCTTACAAAAATGTCCATCCTTCCTGAGCAGCTTCCAATCCCATTGATTTCAGCTGGCATTAGCAGCAGATCAGTGTAACACCAGCTTTGACTAATGATGGACAACAGAGCCCTAAACAAATGGGAAGTCAATGGGAGTCTTGCCAGTGGCCTCAACAGGCTTTGCACAAGGCCATAGAAGCATTTCCCCTTCCTCTAAAAAATACGAGGAATTCTTCTGGCACGAGGAAGTTGCTTTCTGTGTCCCATATGAAATAGTTCTGGGTTGCCTCTGGCTCTTACGCTCCCTGAGACTCTCTAGCATTTTTTTCTCTTTTTTTTTTTTTTTTTTTTTTTAGTTTATGAATATGATGCAGCCGTTCAGTTCACCCTGGAAACACATCAAACGCCCATACAACCACAAGGATTGGTTGTCTGACCACTACTGTGGCTCCACCCCCAAATAACGAGAACTGGCATTTCTAGTTCCAGCAAGGACAGGATGTATGTGGACTTCATTCATAGCCATCACTATACAAGTTCTCAGGATCAGAACAGAAAGAAGTGCAATATACATGCCAGGCTGGGATTAGTGCCCTTAAGAGATGGGGTATTTATGATGCTGCTCAAGCCCCTTCATTAACAACTCTGCCCTGTGTTCTTATACAAATCAATATCGGTCATTATAATGAATGGCCATTCCTTATAACATTGACCACTTGGGCCTCATGACCAGCTCATGCGATTCACTCAGGTTCTGCTCCCAGTCCTCTGCAGTGTGGGCTGTATCTGACACCTCAGCTGTGTAGTGCTGTGGTCCCCCCCAGCAATGTCCACCAGCCGCACCTCGGGTAAGAGGCTGCAGGGCAGCAGAAGTGCTCTACTTCAGGAAGGTCTGTCTATAATTAGACACCCACAAAGGGGCTCCCCCAAAACAGCTCAGGACCACAACCTGTCCTCTGCCTGGTAATGCAATGGTGCTGCTGCTTTGCCCGCCATCTGACAAATTAGCACACCGCTTCACAGGCCGGGGGAGAAGGACAGAAGAGGCCTCCTGACAGAATATTTTAATGGTGGTTTGCTGTTGCCACTGTGAGTTAAACTAAGGAAGTATGCTGCATATGCAAATCTGTTTAGCAAGTTGTTGCTCTCCCCTGAGCATATCAAGGATCATAAATCTCAGCTATCGCTGCATTATAATGATTTGCACTCTTTTTATTCTTTTTTTTTTTTTCCCCAGGAGCACATGTAGTCTTTTGGCAGAAACGTGCATCTTACACCATTTCACAGGTGTTAAATATCTGATGGAGGTTTTATCTCTGAAGGTAAAGAGATTTAAATACTTTGTTGTAACATCTTCTAGAGATGTAGGCAGGCATCTCACTGTTTGCAGGACTTTCTTTCAAAGGTATCCTGGGAAAAAGAAGCCCTGGTGTGGAATTTATGGCATCTGAAATGATGGTTAAAATGTGGACCTTTCAACTGTAAATATGTTTCCTGATTTTATTCTTTGTGCCTAAAATGCAAGAATAAAAAAATTAGTTTCAAAGTCACTTACAGGGGAGAGAAAATTGTTTCACATTCCTTCCAAAATACCTTGTTTTGGAAGTTCACTTTTGGATGTTTGTATCCTCAGAAAGTTCTATTGTGCAGGTTTGCTACTGTACTTTTAAAGTATTTTATTAATTTATGAAAATATAATAATTCAAATAACTAGCTCCTTGAAATGGATCTCCAGCAATACTAATAGTCCAGTTGGTAACAGACCACTCTGAAGTCAATAGTCATTTAATAAATGATACTCAATTAATCATTAAACAGGAATTCAAGGTGGCTGGAGATGAGAGTATCAAATAATTTGTGAAGTAACTCTAAGCCATCATATTTCAGATTTTTGTACCGCAACACTTTTGCATGGATTTGCAGCTTAACTTTCTAACACAATACAGATGTGAACAACAGACAGGGATTATAGCCCTTTCATATGAAGTAGGCTCTACTCTCCAGATGGAAATTTGTCAGCTTCCTCAGAGCTAAGAAACATCCAAAAGACACTAGTTAAGAAACTCTTCAAAAATGAACCGCTTCTAATGATCCGTAACCACACAGGAACAAATAAGTCTTTGAGCAGTGTCCAGTTGTTTGTCTCAGGGACTCAGCTGAGAAAACTGACTTTTGGACACCACTAGAAACAGCATACTCTTAACTATATCATTTGTATTTTTTTCTTGTAGCTTAGCTTTTTCAGCCATCACACTTGAAGAAAGCACTCGTGCCATTACACTGAAAACAACATTAAATGTAAGAAGGAACAGTAATATTCTTACCTAAACATATAATAATTCAACCATTCTGAATTTGCATCCTACCACCAAAAACCTAAGTTCTTTAAAAACAGTGCTTAAATGTGGCTTTAACTGATGTTATGCTATGCCTACATATGGAAGTAGTTAGCAAGGAGAAGTTGGGATGAAATACCAGTGTAAGGCTTTGCCCAAAACCCAAGAAGAAGCCGAGAGAGGAAGTAGCTCAGTTAACTTATTTTTCCTCTCATTTTCCACTTTTTTTTCCTCTCTGCAGTTCCTTTGGTTCATGCCCATAAATGGACATACCAAAAGCCACCACATTCTCACAGTGTTTTTCAGCCTGCCTGGAACCAGGAAATACCAGGAATTTCTTCAAGGAACCTGTTCCCAAACTGTACTAAAGCCTTCAACACATTTAGTGTTTGAACAGAGTTTAGAAGCATGACTAAGGTCCCATCTCCACTGCACAACCCAGCGTTGCTCCAGCACTGAACAACTGCTTGCAGTCACTGCTGCTAGCCCTGGCCTTTTCAGCTCTTCCCTGTGCCCTCCTGAGCCCAGAGCGGCAAATATGGGGTGACTCTGAAAAGTCCCCCCAGAAACCTCTGACTGTGTATTGTGGCAGTGTTCCTCAGCTCCTGCCTGTTACTGGGGCAGTGCCAAACGCAGGAGTATTTACATTTGCTTAATGGTAAGTAAATCCAACCCTAATGGTGCTTATGCTGTGAGGAAGAAAGCATTTTACAGCCTCACGAGCAGGACCAAAAGGTTGCTAACACAGTACTGCAGTGTAAACACAATCCAGTGGTGCCTCCATTCATTACTCGCCCCTATTAATTGGGCCACTGAAAGAAATGCACAATCCAAAGAAATGTTTGTTGTTTTAAATTAGTCCTATTAAAAGCGGGTATTTAACAGCTTTCAGCAGCTATGAAATATGTTTTCCTGCTCCTGAGCTAAATGCTAAGAACCAACTTTTCAGCCAGTTTTCAGGACGTATGTCAGCCTAGCTAATTGACATAACTGCAGTCGCACTGGTTTAGACCGCCTGTGGTGGCCCAAAGTCCTGAGGCTGTAGGAAGTTAGGCGAACTGCACAGGGCTGTGTGCCTGGGGGGGCTCCCGAGAGGCCACGGGCTGGCTCCTGTGACATTTGCTGGGCAGCAAGCGCTTGGAGCACAAATTGCACAAGAAAGTATTACCTACTGGGGAAGTGATAAACCAGCGTATCTGGTAAATTAATGTGATGGACTAGACTTCAAAATAGACCTGAAATACTGTTCGAGCTTTAGGCAATGTAACATCTGGGAAGGTATTAGATATAATCTTAATACACTGTGATATGGTATGGTGTTAATTATGCTTTCTTAATAACATATTTCTTAAATAATGCAATTTTTCAAAAAGTCTTTATTCTTAACCAAAGAAAACATTTGATGTCTTCTGAGAGATTATCTCACCATGGACTTTGTGATTTGCCGTAACACCATGCTCTGAAGGAACTTACTTTGCCCTAACTCTCAGGCTTTGGTTACTCCACATGTGCTGAGTCATTCGCTGATCCAAGAACAGGTATGGCCCAGCCAAGACCTGTAACAAT